GCACCACCCCTGGGTCCGTACCTGCACCACGCGGTTCTTGAGCAGAGCGACGGAGGCTCCTGGCAGCTCCAGGAACACGGCCCGGACGTAGGACACAGTGCTCTGCCCATGCCGGTGCTCGTTGGCAGCGTGGACGGCGAAGGGGGCCAGGGCCAGGCTGGCGTTGCAGGGCTGGGCCAGGACGTAGGTGCAGGTGCCCTGGAAATCGAACTTCCTCTTGTCGAAGGTGGTGTAGTGGGGGTCGCCCGATGCCACGCAGGTCGCGGAGTCTGGGGGTAGCCAGAGCTAAGCACCAGCCCCCAGAGCCGGGGAGACAACCCAGGAGTTCTGGCTCCCAGCCCCCCTTGCTCTAACCCACCAGCCCCCACTCCCCTCCCAGAGCCGGGGAGAGAACCCAGGAGTCCTGGCTCCCCACCCTCCCACTACGGGGGTCCCCCAAGAACTCACCTATTGGGAAGCACCCCTGTACCCCATCCCCATGGCTGACACAGTGCTGGTTGGGTCGGCAGCTGGCATCAGAGCAGCGGGTGTTGTTGTTAGACAGACAGTGGCAGATCTCCTGGCAGCCATCGGCGTAGATCACCTCACCGGGCTAGGGACAAACGGACACGGGTGAGAGAACCCAGGAGTCCGGGCTCCCAGCCCCCCTGCTCTAACCACCAGCCCCCACTCCGCTCTCAGAGCCGGGGAGAGCACCCAGGAGTCCTGGCTGACCTGGTAGTAGGTGTGGTTGTAGAAGCAGCCGCAGTCCGTGGGGGGGACGCAGTGCCCCCCGCTCAGCAGGTGCCCGGGGTCGCACTGGCAGCCCGGCTGGCAGGGCAGGTCGCAGCTCAGCTGGGGGTCGTCACAGCGCGGGGGGCAGGCCACGCCACACGACTCGTAATGGGCATTCGGGGGGCACGGGACGGAGGTGCCTGCGGGGGGAGCATCCGGTCAAACCACCACCCAACGGGCCCGGCCCCGGGGGGCTATGTGGGGCAGGGGAGTAGGGGGTCTGTTCCCACAGAGCCCCCGCCCAGGGGATTTGGGGACATGGGGGGAGGGGAAGAGCCCGGCCACCCACCCTACACCTCCATGGGGCGACGCACCTGGCCAAGTCGATGGGGTCACAGAGGGGGCTGGAAACCCAGAAGTGGGGGTGGAGCCAGTTGCTACAGTGGTGGCTGCTGTGGTCCCACTGGGGGCGGTGCTGGTTGCTATGGGGCTGGTTGTCGTCGTGCCAGTGGTGGAGGAGCCAGTTGCTATGGGGCTGGTTGTCATGGTTTCACTGGGGGTGGAGCTGGTTGCTATAGTGGTGGTTGCCGTGGTTCCACTGGGGGCAGTGCCAGTTGCTATGGGACTGGTTGCTGTGGCCTCACTAGGGGCGGAGCCGGTTGCTATAGTGGTGGTTGCCATGGTGCCAGTGGGGGTGGAGCCGGTTCCTATGGTGGTGGTTGCCGTGGTGCCAGTGGGGCGGAGCCAGTTGCTACGGTGGTGGTTGCCGTGGTCCCAGTGGGTGTAGAGCCAGTTGCTACAGTGGTGGTTGCCGTGGTCCCAGTGGGTGT